ATATTTGTGTAAAGTTTAACTCTCCTTTTTGATGTAGGCTTAATGTAGAAATAATTGTTATATCTGCAGTTTTATAGACATCACAGCACTTTCAAACATGTATGTGAGATGAAATTATCAGATGAAGCCAAATTGTGATTGCCACATGTGCAGTGTAGGGGACTCCAAATACAAATTTATCTTTTTAAACTATAGACAATGTTGAGAATCTTGTCTGATAAAATTAATAAAATATTGAGTATCTTAAATTGAAATTAATGCCTTGAACTATTTATTGTTAGTTATTAGCCTAATAGGCATTCAAACTTGTATTCTAATAATATCAATTATTTCTAGTTTAAATAAAATTCAAGAACTGTTCTCAGTCACGGTGACAGAAAGCGTGCTCTTCCTCTAGCAAGTAGATGTGTGGTTAGTTAGGTAAGAATCTGTATTACTCCATTATATAAGGGCATATTTTTAATCCATTTATGAATATGAGCGTGCAGTACCTAGTAGCATCCTTAAACAACAAAAAATGACACCTCAAGTACCATGCCAATGCAGCATGATAAAACATTTACATAATACAAAAATGGCTTTGTTTACAATAACACTAGAGATTGATAGTGTTTGTTTCATAAAACACAAACTTATTTTCAACGATTCACCAATGTCTGATTTTGCCACAATGGAGAAAAGTATCCAGATAAATTTTCTAAATGTTGATATGATTTGGGAGTCATCAGATTTTTTATTCTTTTGATTTGGCTAAATGCACTTGGATGTGAGGGAGAGTACGTGTGTGTGAGACAAATAATAGACATGTTGGAGTAGAAAATTGAAAAATTCACTGGACATTCTTACTTATTTTATCGCATATTTATTTTATTGGTCTCAGATACAGAATTCATGTTACATGTCACTATACATGTACTTTTTAAGATTTACTTATTTTTATTACAAAGTCAGATATACAGAGAGGAGAAAAGATAGAAAGAAAGCCGTTCTGTCCGATGATTCACTCCCCAAGTGAGTGCAATGGCCGATGCTGTGCCGATCCAAAGCCAGGAGCCAGGAACTTCCTCCAGGTCTCCCAAGCGGGTGCAGAATACCAAAGCTTTGGGCCATCCTCAGCTCCTTTTCCAGGCCACAAGCAGCCTGGGAAAATTGGATGGGAATTGGGTGGGAAGTGGAGCTGCCGGGATTAGAACCGGTGCCCATAGGGGATCCCAGCATGTTAAAGGCGAGGACTGTAGCTGCTAGGCCACGCCAGCGGCCCTGTACATGTATTTTTATGAACAAGATGTATAGTTGTATACAACAGAAATGATTATGATTAATCTAAACAACATAATTTAGTAAATTACTACCGACTAGCTTATCAAATCAACAATAAATCAGAACTAATCGGTGTCAAAAACAGGAAGGGTTAACTGATGTTCCTCTCTGTCTCTCCTCTCTGTATATCTGCCTTTCCAATAAAAAATAATAATAATAATAATAGTAAATCTTTAAAAAAATATATGAAAATCAATATGAGAAAGCCATCATCACTGCTCGAATTTATCCTAACTAAGCTTTTTGAATAAAGTTGACGTGTGAGTAAAAGACTAAGAAGAACCCGACAGTTACAGTATACCTGGGAAGATTCACTCCTTTCTACATTACGATTACCTTTCGTGAAATTGTAACTTGCTTACAATTCATAGAACCTGAAAGACTATAGTAAGTCTTGAAGATGATGCTTTGTGTAAGACCCCATGGTAGCAGAATATGGAAAGAAGCTATTTTGTTGACCTTAAAGTAGAAATCGTCTATGACCACATTTCTCGTTGTGATTGGGATGACTACAGTTTGCTGCTAATGCAGAAGGTGTGACAATAGTGACGGCTCGAGTAACAGGATTCTTGTTACCACTTTCTGCTTCCATCCAGCCCTGATCAATGTGGGTAAATGGAGGATTTATCTAACGCCCAGACCATCTCCCTGTCTGTCTCTGCTTCTAAAACAAATACAATTTTTTAAAATGTGTACTGAAATACTTAGTACCATACTAAATAACATGGCATCATTTTATAATAGTTCAGTATCCATCACCATTAAAGCAATGACAATTGTAAATGTTTGTATGTGCATTAAAATTAGGCTAGTAAGACAACAGAAAAAACAAAACATGCTTCAAAATGTTCTTCCCTCATTCTGAATTGCAGCTTTAAATCTTCATCCATTTTATAAATCGTACGTGTCTGTCATTATTTTTATAAGCCTTCTCTGGTTTGAGTAACTACTGATCACAACCTTTCTTATTTTCTTAAGATGTACTTGACTCTATGCTACGTTAGTGAACGGCTGTTTAATTAATTGGCTGGGCTTAAGGAGGATCTCCAATGAAGATCAGAAATACAAAATCCTTGCAGTTTTCATTCCTACTGCTCCAGAAAGAGCCATTGAGAGGTAACAGCCTGACATACTTACTGGATGGATATAAACTAAAAAAAAAAAAAAAAAAAAAAATCTCTTAATACTCAAGTAGCTCATCATTGAAGAAAACAAAATTATTATTTTGCTTGTCCCAGGAAAAATAAAAATAAACAAAACTTATGTTACAGTGAAAACATATCCAACACGTCTTTAGCCTATAAAGTTGCTTTAAAATTTCTTTTTATTCATCTTAATACATTTGTTTTTCTTTATTATTAAAGGGTTTGCATAACATAAACTGTTGAACTATTCAATAAAGATTAAATAAAACATTATGAAAATGCATTAAACCTGCAAGTTAAAAGTTAAAGGATAATTAAATAAATCATTTGAGTGAAATGAATAATCATTTTAAAAAATAATAAATTCATTTTATTTTTGATTATGTTTATATAGTTGGGATTGATGCTTGCCCATATGGGCCATCAAATAGGGTGGGGAGGGTCAAGAAATGCGGAAAAATATATGAGTGTCACCAATCTCCTTTTTTTTCTTCCTGTATCTGGAGAAAGTGGGGAGAGAATGGAAGAGGCCCACTCCCAGCAGTACAACTGCATCAGTCCTCAAGAATGGGGTACCACCACGCAATGTCATCACAGGGTCCCTAATGTGGAGTGTGCTTGGAGGATACTACTTAAGTGGTTTTGATAGTAGTATACTTATATGTTTACAAACTGTTTTCTTTCCCTAAATATAAGTGTCAATGGTAGAAGTTTCAAACCATTTTCTTGTGAGGGTTCATACTATTTTGCTTGCCTTAGAAGATGCCCCATATACTTTCTGCTTTCTGTGGTGAGAAATCAAAATGTGTCATTTCGTGTGGTGTAACAGTTTGCGGCTACACGGTAAGCAAAATATTTGTACCTCCATGATTGCCATGTACTTCCATGATTGCCATCAACTCATTTCTGAAGGAAAACATTAGTTATATTAGGGCAAGCTTCAGGACAAAGGTGGACACACAACAGGATGTTTGGAGACATTATGGACTCAATTGTACTGTTGTATGCTTTTAGCTGTGTATCATTGCCTTACGTTGCTAAAGATGCTTTTACCATAACATGATTGATCCATTTGAGGTGTTATATCAGTTACAGGAATCATCTCACATTTACAGAAAAACAATACCCTCAGGAGAATTCTATGAAACATCAGAGAGATAACGGAGTGTCCATACAATGGGGTGAGGCCACAATGAGGTGACCAGAAACATTCTGCTGGGCCCTGCCACTCCTCATAGCCTTGCTAACCAAGGAGCGGTGCTAGTCACACCCTCGCTCCCTGAGTTCCAACTGCATGGCTTGCCGCAAAAAGTGAACCAAAAGATGAAAGCTCTCTCTTTCTTTCTCTTAATCTGTAATTCTTTTTTTTAAGATTTCAAATGTATTTTATTTCTTCAATAATGCAATATATTTTTTTTTTTTATCTTAGGAAGTTTATTCCAGCGGGGCAGGAAAAGGGGAAGGGGAAGGAGGGGGAAGGGAGGTAAGAAGGAGGAGAGGGAGAGCAGGGGAGAGGAACCAAGGAGAGAGCAAGAGCAAGAGAGAGAGCAAGAGAGAGAGAGAGAGAACCGAGTGGGGCAGGAACAGGGGAAGGGGAGGGAAGGGAGGAAGAGCAGGGGAGAGGAACCAAGGAGAGGAAGAGAGAGAGCAAAAAGGGGCGAACCGCACCTGGGGGCCTTTTTTGTCTGCCAGGTGTGGGGGGGCGGGGATTGGGAGGGATTGAGGTCAAGGCCCCAGGGGATTGGTGCCTGCAGGTGAATGCCTGGGGATGATTGGTGAGTGGGCGGGTTTGGGGAAGGGGCTGGGAGATTGGGGGTGGGATTCTCAGGTGGAATGCCAGGTTACATCTGATTGGTGGATGGCTGGACTGGCGCGAATTCCGTGAGCAGTGAGGAAGAAGAAATGGCGCAGGGTCCAGGGTGGGATATGGGAATAAGTCCTTACATTCCTCCCTTTTGTTATATATAAAGGAAGAGGGGCATTGTTCTCTATGGCTTCTAGGAGCTGTTTTCTCTTGGCAGTGGTTGCAGCCTGGTGGAATAGGAGATGGAGGAACACTTCTAGTCCTGCAAAAGAAACTTGTTAATGGTTTGATTAGAAAAAAATTTTTACATTTCAGTGGATGGAATGGAGGGAAGGGTTATTAAGAGTCCCTTGGAAAAGCTGGCTTGAGTTCATTTTCCGTTAGCCAGGCTTTGTTATACTGGATTCTTCATTACTCCTGAACGGTCAATGCAGACAAAGTAGCTTCACCAGGAACCAGAGACCCCGACTGCCTATCATACTATCTAACTCCTCACATTTCCAAACAGGAGTGAACAGGGATAACGGGACGACGACCGCTCTAGCTTCTTCGAGCTGAAAGGGGGCGTTGAGCAACTGTAGCAGTAGGGGGGTTCTAGAGGTTCCTGGTAGAAGGTAGAAGTCATCAGATGTCTGAAGTACTACTGCCTGGCACTTGAAGGCTTCTCTTTCTTGGTCTAGATAACAAAACATATTAGAATTATAATCTTTCCCAACTTAGCAGGTCATATTTTAACTGTTACAGTGCTTTTTCTTGGCATCATTTATGAGTTGGTTTGAATCAATTCATTATTACACCAGCTGGGATGATTACTGATCTCTGCACTCCTTTGGGGTGACTCTGCCAACAGGGGACAGGTTCCATTCCATTCCAATCTGTGTTGCTGTATATGTCCATGCAACAATACAGAACGTGGCTCCACCAGCCCATACATTATTACATTTGTCATGAAAATCAGGTGCACGTTTCTGGTGGCTCTGCCTTGCCATTGCTTGCTGAATGCTTTGAAATTGCAGACGACTTAGCACACTTCTGGCCAAAGGAAACATCGTGGAACAGAAACTGTTTCATGGCAAGTTCGCTGGCGGTACCCTTGCCAATCTGTAATACTTTCAAATAAATGAAACTTTAAAAATAAAATAAATACAGGACCTCAGTTTATCATTTTATCAAAGTGAATGGACCCTTCTTTTCAAGCCGTTTTCTGGTATCCAGGCTTGTTGATTACGTTTTCATTTGATATTAAATGAAGTTTTGTTTTTCAATGATGGGAATGTTAACAAAGTTCAATAGTTTCAATTTAACCCAAGAAATGGGGACATGGAATGGCTCTAACCTTCATTTAAGGTGATCAGAATAGAGTTAAAATATATACATACACTAATATACACATCTATATAAGTATATATAATATATGCATTTATTTTATATACACATCTTCCTCTGGTGACAAGCACACCGTGTAGCCATAAATTGTAATCCATTCCCTTCAATGTCCTGAGTAAGAGACTGTGAGTGTGTTCATCCAGGTGGGAAATCAAACTGACTTCATGACACCATAGTGAAAGAGTGAGAAATGCTACATACTTAGAGTTTTGAAAATATTTTCAAATTTATGTATGCATTTCCAGAAATAGTCATCTCTCTACACATATATTTAAAGCAATTTATTTCAATATAAATCATTTTTCTGTCATTCTGATGTCCTCAGGAAATATTCAAATTTAGATGATGTTGTAATACAGAAAACTAAGGAATCATGATGTTATACTATGACTTCAATTTTGCTTGACATTTATTTCCAGATTTTCAGGTTAAATGGGTGAAACAGTGACTTTTCCTCGTAGCACTTTGTCCTGTCATGTTTAAGTTTATTTATGCAGATACCTGATTGAGAAAACTCTAAGTGTCATCTGTATACTTTATCTTGCCTGTTTAATATCTAGCACATAAATCATGCTGGTAGTAAATTGTGATGACTTGATTTCAATAAACTTCCAGTATCCAAACTTTCCAACAATTTGCAAACTATCATATGTATTCTTCATTACTGTCATGCCAAAGATATGAAAGTGAGCACATTCCTTGTATAGAAATGCCAAGTGTAAATCTAAGCAAAGAGGTCTAATTTGTTAGATTATTCAGGAATAAATATCTGTCTCTGTCATGAGGTTTATTGATTTCTGTTGCTATTCTTTAAGAGAGAGATAATACACATAAGGAAATCATTTTCCTATCTTAAGCACAAGAATGATGTGCAGGTGATATTTTCTTACTGCCAGTTACTAGAGCTATTTTGTCTCAATGCCTTCATAAATATTATTGGATATTTGTACGTGAACTGTTACTGACTCCAGGACACTTACACACAAAGCCGCCACTGCTTCTCACAAAATTTGTTGATGGTCAAGGCTCTTTCCTCTTCACTGTAGACCAAAAACTCTCATATAGCTAAAGAAAATTTATGTCAGGAGAATTGCTTTGTAGAAATCTAGATAATAAGTATCTTTGCTATGCCCACACAATTTCTGCTGCAACTTTTACAATCATTAGATGGTTGGGAGAAAACATCCCTAGGAAATAAATGCAAATGAATGTCCTAAGACATTTTTTTTTTTCTATAAAAACAAGTGTAGGGCCCAGGACCATGGCCTAGCGACTACAGTCTTTGCCTTGAATGTACTGGGATCCCATATGGGCTCTGGTTCTAATCCCAGCAGCTCCAGTTCCCATCCAGCTCTCTGCTTGTGGTCTGGGAAAGCAGTCAAGGACAGCCCAAAACCTAGGAACCCTGCGCCAGCAGGGAGACCTGAAAGAGCTCCTGGCTCCCGCCTTTGGATCTGCTCATCTATAGCGGTTGTGGCAAACTGGGGAATGAATCATCAGATGGAAGATCTTCCTCTCTGTCCTCCTCTCTGTATATATATGACTGTTCAATAAAAATAAACAAATCTAAAAAAAAAAGTGCCGGCATGTTTGACTGCTGAGCCAGAACTGCATAACAGTGTAATCTACTAAAAAAGCTATGACAATTCCAATGGCACACAATGATTAAGAAAACAAAACCTAATATAATTAATTTTTACATCATTGCTATTCATTTACACAATTTTTCTATATTGAGGAAATTGAAATTTTCTCAATGCATTCTATGATTACAATTTTCTCAGTAAGAATATCAATCAATACACTTAGCATTTAGTAATACATATATATAGTTTTATGTATTTACTCTTAAATATATGCATATAATAAATATATAATACATTGATATAATATGATATATAATTATATTAGCATAATATATAATACATATATAATAAAGCACCTGTATAATACTATGTTTAATATATAGTACCACATAAAGTATAATAAAATAAATAGATGTAAGAATAAAAATGTAATCAAACTCACAGGAGGGCACATCAAACATTTTGGAATGTAATGGAGTCTCCAGAAGAGAAATCTCACATGCCTTCTCTGATTTGTCGTATCATATAAAGAATACAAAAGCGTGACACATATTAGTGAAAGTGACATTTTGAGTCTATTATTGCTCATAGGTTTCTCAGAATTTTATCTAGTTATTACTTATTGAATAACTTACAGAGTTGGTTATTAGCCATGAATATTAAGTAAATGAGAAGCATGTCATTGCAAAAATTAAAGGCAAAATAAGAAAAAAGGAGGGAGGTTGGAAGCAAGAGAAGGAGGAAGGCTGGGGTGGGAGGGATTACAATTTCTTACAATTATATGCACATGAAATACATGAAGTTTGTGTTTTTATACTAATGAGAAGATCAGCCTATTTTGGCACAAAATTTTTGAAATTCACATATAGCATTCCTAAGAAATATGTTTTCCATGAACTGGCTGAAGTATTATATGATTAGTACATAAATGATTAGTTGATAAAAACATTAGATTATACCTCCTTAAAATCATTTAACTTCTCATAGTAATAGCTATACAGAATAATCTATTATGGAAAGTAAACATAATATTTCTATGAATATTATTATCAGGATAAAGCTTTTATTTAGATATTAACTTCCAAATAGGAAAATCAGAATTTGCTTATACATTAAGGTTAACAGGCACATTTCAATAATAGTTTTCAGGGCATATTTCAATATTAGTTTTCAGTATTTAAAAAATTATTTGTAAAACATCACAGCATTTCAAACAGTTGTGTATTTAATATGATTATTTATCTTTTTAATGTGATATGACTAGGGACATATATTTATAAAAGTTATACATTTTGAAAGAGTAAAGATGTTATAAACCATATATGTTTAAATGTAGAAAATAGTAATTGATACATTCTAAGGCTTAGGAGCAGTGCATACTGAGACAGCTGTTTATGCTCTGTTTAGGTTGAGATTTACTTATTGTGTACTATGCTTCTCTATTTTTGGTATATTTTTGAAATGTATTTTGTATGATTTATTTTGAAAATTAGATTGCTTTGAGTTCACTCAAAGGTTACATTTTATATAACTCCAAAGTTGTCACTTCAGATTTTCAAATTTTTAAAACTTTCTTACTAGGTAGTAAGAGAATGCTATATAATCCCAAATCAAACGCTATCTTTTTTGTTAGAAATTATGAGAGCTGGAATATCAAGAATTAACTAAGATTTAGAGTACACAGTTTAAGCTATACTCCAAACACATGCTACATTTCATCAATAAAATGTATCTTGAGCTTTAAAATTATCTTCTAGCTTGATCATTAATTTTTAAATTTTGATTTAATGATGTTTCATATACTTAAACTGTTTGCAAATTAATTTCATTGCAAGCAATTGTTAATTACAATTAAGCTATACCATTAATTGTTCTTCCTGGTATGATTGCCATGATTGAATATAGTTTGGAAAAATAAGATTTAATACATTATTGAATCCAATTTTGCTTTTTAAAGGCCAAAGAAAACTTATAATTTTCAAAAATAATCACTAACGATATATTTGAATTTTTTTTTCATTTTTCTAAAACTAAAAATCCCCCTTCTTATGTAAAAAAATGTAGGAGAAGAATTCTAGGTCTGCTGTTTCATGGTAGAGTCACAGTCAGGTGGAGTTTGACAGAGATAAATCAAGTCTGTCATACTGGTTGTATAAGAGAATGAATGAGACAGGATGATTTTAATGTAAGGTTTCTTTCAGATTGTTAATTTATGTTTTAATTATTTATAGTGAACTTTTTATCGATGCCACAAATATAATTGCTTTTTAAACATGCATGTGTTGATGCCATAATTCCTAGTGTGATCACATTCGGAGACAGGATATTTAAAAAGGCAGCTATTTGAAAGTGATAATGGTTGGAATAGAAACTACAACCAGATATCGTTATAACGAGAGCATGAGACACAAAAGTATGTACCTAGAGGAAAAGTCATTTTAGTGACCATCTTTATGGCACAGGAAGACAAGCTATGGCCTCCAGCAAGGCTGTTTCATATCACAGCACTGATTCCAGTCCCTTACTGCTCTGTTCTAGGTCCTACTTCCTGTAATGTGTTTGGGAAAGCAACAGGAGTTGGCATAACTGCTTAGACTCTTGCCATTCATTTTGGAAATCTGGAAGAAGTGCTGGACTTCTGGCTTTCAGCTTGAATCAGCATAACCAGTGTAGACACTTACATGGTGAAATAGCAAAGAGACAATCTCTTTGTGCCCTTCTTCATTACTCTGCCTTTCAAATCATTAAACTTGAAATAAATAAATCCCCATTTAGCAATCAAAGCAGGAAGAATTCCAATCTCCCAGGAACTCTGAGCCCTCAGAATTCTGATTTAGGCTGCCTCATTGGTGACCATGTTCACTGTCGAGAAAGAAAATTAGAGGAAAAAAAAAACTTATGCTTTGCTAAGTTTTACAATTCATTGTGATTTTACAATATATCTCTTTGGGTTCATTTCTAGCCCATCGTTTTGGGGAACATTAGCAATAACATTAAGTTTTCATGAAGTGAAAAGCAGCATTACCTAAAAATGTGGAATGTATGAATGATCCGTGCATAAATTTCATTTCATCTTC